GGGGGGTATTATCTCTGCTCCTCACTGTAAATCTCAAGAGCACAACTCTCAAAGCAAGGTTCTCTTGACTTTTTCCTTGCTTTCAATGGTCCCTCTTATAATATTCTCACCACTTTATCCACTGGACAAAAGATTCTGTTGCACTTAAACTTATAGAAAAGTCCCATTTGTGCTTGAAGCAGCACGGAGATCTGGGCACAAAGGGTGACCTCTCAGTAGAGATGGTGGGTCGGGAATGGATCAGTTCACATTTTATTATCAAATTCCCTAATTGCCACTTCCTAAAAAATAAATAAAAATGAACCGAAATGCATCTATCCTTCAAAATTACCACTTCTTTGAATTTTGGAAACCAGCAGCGTGGTGTAGTGATTAAGAGCAGTGGACTCATAATCTGGTGAACCAGGTTCATGTCCCCGCTCCTCCATATGCAGCTGCTGAGTGACCTTGGGCTAGTCACACTTCTCTGAAGTCTCTCAGCCTCACTCACCTTACAGAGTGTTTGTTGTGAGGGAGGAAGGGAAAGGAGATTGTTGGCCACTTTGAGACTCCTTAAGGGGAGTGAAAGGCGGGATATCAAGTCCAAACTCCTACTTCTCCTCTTCCTCCTCCTCCTCCTCCTCTTCTTCTTCTGTGATGCAGTTTTCCAACCACCAAATGTGTCCAGAAAGTGTATATTCAGGGGAGGTGTGGATAAAAAATGCATATGTTAGTGAAAAATAATATACAACAACGAATTATATCAGGGGAAATTGTAATACAGTGGTACCTCTGGTTAAGTACTTAATTCATTATGGAGGTCCGTTCTTAACCTGAAGCTGTTCTTAACCTGAAGCACCACTTTAGTTAATGGGGCCTCCTGCTGCCGCCGTGCCGCCGGAGCACGATTTCTGTTCTCTTCCTGAAGCAAACTTCTTAACCCGAGGTACTATTTCTGGGTTAGCGGAGTCTGTAACCTGAAGCGTATGTAACCCGAGATACCACTGTATATACACTTGTGAAAACTGTTATATTATGGACAATTGCATCTGCAAGTGTGTATGTTAGGAGAAACGCACCCAAAAATGCTGAAGAATTTTCATGAAGACATAAAAGAAAATTGCAAACTGATGTTGAAAATGTGGAAGACTTAACTAAAGGATGGGGAAATGAAAAACAGTGACAAACTGAAATTGACAGATCCATCCATCCCTATACCCCAACAGTGTTTCCAAAATGGCTGTGTCATCATGTGGTCACACAGTCACTCTAGGGAGTGGCTCTCGGGGGCTACTCTTTGTGGCAAGAGCCCAGTGCTGCAGGGCACATGCATAGTGATCTCAGTCATCTTCTAAATTCTGAAAGTCATGTATCGTCAACATTTATCTGAAATCCTCCCACCACAGTTGGTCTCTTCTGAGGTCACTTAAATTTGCCCCAACCCTTCCAATTGCAAAAAAAGAGAGAAGGGGGGATGTTTGTTTGTTTGGATAAAATATAGTTTTGTTGTTGTTGTTGTTGTTGTTGTTGTTGTTGTTGTTGTTGTTGTTTTACCAACAAAATAGTCCACCCTGAAAAGGAGCCATGGAAAAATCATAAGGCACAAAATCGTCCAAAGGCAAATCTGCTACAAGTGCAACAAGTGCTAGTGGGACAGTAAAAAAATAAAAGGAGTTCGAAGGGCATTGGAAAGAGCCATAGAGCCAAACAAGTCCAGTAATTCTTCCAAATAAAATCATACTTGACTGAACAAGGCAATCCATGGTACGAGTGATTAAAGGAGTCAGAAAAAAGCCATCATAAGTCTTATGAGGCAGTAGAGCCCACAGTGACTTTCAGTTCAGGAGTTCGCTTCTTCAACGAAACAATAATCATAGTATTTTTATACCATGGGTCCAGCATAAAAGCTAAGGCATCCTTCCAGCCTTAGGCAATAGTTGTGACCAGGAGGGAAGGGCAAAAGGTTCAGCACAGCACTACTTCAACCTTTCGTTCATTAAACCTTCAAGCTTCATGCTGTCCTTGTCTATGAACCCTTTGGTTGGCCTCCAGTGAACATCCCCAAATGCAACAGTGCCAAAATAAATGGAGTGGATTTAACATGTGTTCACTTGCACCCCTTGTCCCTTCTTCTCCCATACCTTTTCTCTCTGTGTTCCCTTCCCATGGTCAAATGTCAGATTGTAAGCTCTCAGGGGCAGGGAATTTTTTGCTTGTCCATCAAAGCACCCTGTCCATTTTTTGAAACTGAAAAACAAAATAGTCACCTTACACCCAGTTGTTCTTCCCCCCTCCTTGTAGCTTGAGAAAGCAACACATACACTCTCCTGTATTAAAGGATTTCACCCCCTGTTGCTGCCCAGTGTATCATTTTAAAGAATGAAGCTGATGATCATCACAGTTGGGCTGTAATAAGTGAAATACTTTCTTATTCCAGACATCCCACTGTGAGTATGTGTGGGTATGTTTATAAAAAAACAAAAAACACCTGAAGAGAAAGGATTAAGAAGTCTCCCCTCCTCCTTTTCCTCCCCATCCTGTCCATCTCACACCTTTTTTGATCTTCCATTGAAGACTGAAAACTCCACAAGCCTCATTTTGTTATAATAATAATATCAATAGGGAGAAACAAGACGTGATTTGCTGGGTGTAGCAGAGCTGCTACACTAGCCTCTGGGCAACTGTTTCACTGCTGGTTAGGGACAGGATGGTTTGAGTGGTGCAAATGCACCAGCAATGCCAATCTGGTGTTCCTCCCAGTGTGGTTGTACCACACTGCCCTCCCTGACATCTTGTTCCTCCCACTCCCTGGAAGTAGCAGCAACCGTCTTCCAAGAAGGTAGCAAAACACCTCCACCTCTCCTGGTGGACCACTTCTGGGAGAAGCCAAGCTACACATTACTTCAGAACTTCAGAACTTACGTACAGCCTGCTGGATCGGTTCAATGGCCTACCTAGTTCAGCATTCTGTTCTCATAGAGGCCAACCAGATGCATGTAGAAGCCAAAGAGCAACAGCACTCGCCTTACTTGTGATTCCAAGCAACCACTATTATTGCCTCTGATCATGGGGTTATGGAGTATATTCATTGCAGCCAGAAGGCACTGATATTCTCCATAAATTTGTCCCATCCTCTTTTGGTGGCCAGCACCAAAGCCTCCTGTGGAATAGAATTTCATAGATGTAAAACAGTGCTTTGCTTTTTTTTTCCCCTAGAAAAAGAGGTGCCAGAACTCACCATGAACACCTTCCTTGTTTTCTTGTAATGGCAATGGTGCCCACCTGAGAGATGCTGGACCTAAGTTCCAGTGAGTTCCTGCTGAAAAAAGTCCTGTATGTAACTATGCATCTTATGAATAAATTCTTTCTTTTATCTATTCTGAACCTTCTAATCCTCAGCCTCATTGGGTATCCAGGAATGGTAGGGCTTCCTTCAGAATTTGTGTGCATGTGTGGCCATTCATTGAATTTAACCATGGGTGCTTAAAAGAAATCCTTGAGAATGTTCTGGAAATGTCCATAAATGACTGGCATTTGATAAATAACAATAAGATATATATCTTTAAAAAAATTGAAAACTCACCCATTCTTTGTCCCATTCACACACACACATACACCGTCCCCAATAGTTTTCCTGTCAAAATAATCCATTGCAGGGTTGCCTCAACATTCATGGCCCCAGGGACCTCAGCAGGGGATCTGTCGACAATGAGAATAATGCTGAAGTAAACACTCAAAACCAAGGGAATCTGTCCATCCCGAAAGATTAAATGTCACAGGAGCCCTCTGCTATTCCACACGCACTGCTATAAATACAGATATTATCCCCTCTCTGTCCATTATATTCATTGTTATTGCCCACAGTTATTCCGGGAAGCTTTTATGATCACATCTGTTGCCACATGTTATGGTAGGGTTTTAGTTTTTAACATGTTTACAAATGAATACGGAATGGCAAAGTGGGGATCTTGTAAAGAGCATGAGGGGGAAAAGTTTAAAATCAGGGCCCTGCCCCTTTGAGGTGAAGGGAACCAAAATTGTAGACAAAACCAGGGCAGGGGACAGAATCTGAAGTTTCTCCAGCTTAAGATGAATCCAATTTCATTCCGAATCTAGAGTGGGGGTGAATTTTGCACACCCTAAATCCCCTTGGAGAAAAGTCAAGATGGTAGTGCCTGGGGAGGTCAGCTGATGATGTGGAGCCAATGGCCAATGGGGATGGCCTGGTGTATTAACCAGCTGCTCCTCATATGCTCCTTCTTCTTATTTCTGGTGCCCTCCTGCCTTCCATTGACAGTGTGAGCACTGCCTGTTGAAGGGCATGAGTAGAAATTTTGAGGGGATACCTTAACCACAGAGCCTAGGGCTTGCCGATTAGAAGGTCGGTGGTTCGGTGGTTCAAATCCCCGTGATGGGGTGAGCTCTCGTTGCTTGGTCCCTGCTCCTGCCAACCTAGCAGTTCGAAAGAACATCAAAGTGCAAGTAGATAAATAGGTACTGCTCCAGCGGGAAGGTAAACGGCATTTCTGTGTGCTGCTCTGGTTCGCCAAAAGCAGCTTAGTCATGCTGGCCACATGACCCGGAAGCTGTACACCGGCTCCCTTGGCCAGTAAAGTGAGATGAACACCGCAACCCCAGAATCAGTCACAACTGGACCTCATGGTCAGGGGTCCCTTTACCCTTTAACTTTTAACAACTCTCAGCACCCTAAACAAACTACAGCTCCCAAATTTTGGGGAGGAACACCATGTTTAACATGGTGTTAATCATAACACTTTAAATGGATGGTGTGAAGTCGGCCTTAATCTCTGTTTTCGCCACTGATATTCTTATTCGGGTTTCTGAATTTCTAAAGCCATCTTTTTTTTCTGCACTCCATCCCAAAGTCCTTCAGCCCACATTGCGATTTAAGTCAGGGAAACAAAACCTCACAGATGTTTTCTTTTCAAAAGGCAACGCCGGTCCCTCCAAGAAACACCGCACAAGATTGTCTCTTGCCACGGCAAACTCCCCGATAAAACGTATACAGAGAAAAGAAAATCCCCTTTGGCAATAATCAGTGGTCGTACAGAATTTGACAAGCGCGGCTGAATTGTGTTCATTGCCAAGGGGGATTTCTTAGTTCTGGTCAATTCCTGAGCTGGCTGGGATATGAAAAGGAGCAGAAGCAAAGTCAGGCTGGAAGACAGTTGGTGGCGGGAATGAGGGGAAATCAACTAAATAATACAATGTAAAACAAACATGTGACATCCAGAATATTAAGATGCCTCCCCTGGAGATTGTTTTGTGTGCCTGTTCCTTTCAGCATCGTAGAAATTGCATGCACACATGCCCATTCACTCCCCCATATAATAACACCGAGAAGAGCTTAAGGTTGCAGATGCTGCTTTTAAAAGAATAGCAATTGGGGAAAGAGCCATAGCTAATGGTAGAGCATATTCAATTCATATTGGTAGAACATATCCATTCAGCATGGGAAACTGAATTTTAGAAGCTTTAGGACAGATAAAGGGAAGAACTTCTTTACGTAGAACATAGTTAACCTATGGAACTCATTCCCACCAGAGGCAGTGCTGGCCACCAATTTGGATTACTTTACAAGAGGACTGGACAAATTCATGAAGGCTAATGCTATCAGTGGCTACTAGCTATTATTTTTATTATTATGTTATTTATTAAATGTTGTATATACTGCTGCTCATCCAAGGACCATAGGGTGGTTTACAGTATAAAAACACAAAATACATAATATAATAACAAAGTGATAACAATAATCCCCCTCCATGATAGCTCTGCTCTTCAATTTCCATGCAGAATATCCCAGATTCATTTCCTGGCATTTTGAAAGCATCTATGTCAAAACCTATCCTCCAGTTTCTCACATGTTTCCTTCCTCTGCAAAAGAGGCATCTGCCCGGCCTCATTTTCAGGGCACTCAGTAATTGCTTAAAGGGTTTGGGGCTCAGGGGCAGAGGAAGGGGGTGCGGTGGGTGTGGGCCACCCTGGGTGTCACCACTGAGGGGGGTGACAAAATGCTGGGTGGCACTCACCGCTGGGCCTGCAGCTCGCCTGAGAAACGTGTCTCTCCTGGGAAAGAAGCGGTGGCTTGGGTGCTTGCAGGTCTGATGGCCTGAGACTTGGGCTCGGACTCGGAACCAGAGGAGTCTCAGTCCACACTGGATCCTTTGCCTCAGGCGGCATCTGAACCAAGTCTGGGGCCTGATTCTGAAGAGCCCCAGTCTGCACAGGTTCCCCTGCAACAAGCACCAGCTGGGTCAGGGGCCTCAGCCTGCCCTGGCTCCAGATGTGGGGATTACCTCGTTGCCTCCAGCTGGGCCATCACTTACAGCTGCTCCACTACCAGTTGGGTCAGGGGAGGCTGAGGTGGCCCCTGGGTCTAGCAACCCACCAATGTCTCCCGAGCTGCAGAGACTCAGGTCTGAGAGAAGGAGAGACCTGAGTACTTGCAGGAGGAGTGCTCACCTTCGGGCGAGACAGGGAGGTGAGTCACCGGGGGATCAGGACCGGCCGTTACCCTGTCAGAGATAAAAGGCTGTTGGACCACGCCCCAGGTTGTGGGAGCAACATTGCTGTTTGCCAGAACCTGCCTGTGATCCTGTGCCCGACCTAGCCTTGTTTCCTTGACGGACTGACAAAGGGAGGGTTGGGTGGGTGAATCTCCTGAGCCGACTGCCTGGCTACTGTCGGCTCCAATCTCTATATATAAATGGGACTGGCCCCACCTTCCAGCAATGAAACTTGACTACTGAGGCTGTGCATGTACCTCCAAATAATAACACTGAGAGGCAGACCAGCCCCTGTTTGCCTTTAAGCTCCCTGGGAACTGTAGCACCGCTCGCGATCCCACAAAGGGCACCCACAATGTAAAGTGTGTGTGCTCATTTCCAGATTCTTCCTTCCTCTTGGTTGTCCTCCTCTGTACACGTTCCAGCTTGTCAATATCCTCCTTAAACAGAGATGCCCAGAACCAAACACAATACTCCAGCTGGGGTCTGACCAAGGCAAAATAGAGTGATACTGTTACTTTCCTCAACCTGGACACTATACTTCCGCTGATGCTGCCTTGAATTGTGTTGGGCATTTTCCCTCTCTGCTAACTCATGTTAAGCTTGTGTTCTACTAAGACTTCTAGATCCTTTTCACGTGTACTGCTGCATCCAATTGTATCCAAAGTACTCATTGTGGAAGCACAATATTTCCACTTCCACAATGGAGCTTCACCCTTTTTTCTTCTCCCTAAGTTTGTTTTATAGAGCAGATTCAGGGAGAGTGTGTGGGAAACGTGGGGCATAAAGGAAGGAGGACGTTCCATGGTGCCAGCAGAAATCCATTAATGGAAGGAGTGCATTGGATCCCACTCAAGCAAGCAAACAAACAAAACCCAAACTGAAAGGAATTTTTGGCACAGCTCAAAGTGACACAGATGGGGAAAGAGTCATTCACCCACTCCTTCCATCCATCCTCCTGATGGGACTTTAGCTGGTATTTTAGGTATTTTATGAAACAGAACTGCAGTGAGCTGTGGGCATTTCTCTTCCTTCCTTCCTTTTTTGTGTGCATAGGAAATGCCCCCTAGAAAGTGCACAATTAAGCCCCATGTTTTCATTTTTAAAGAGGCTTTTGGTCCCCACGCAATTTCCTAGTAAATCAAAGCCACGGCGGTACCTCTGCTCCCTTGCTTTACGTTGCTCTATAATACTGATTTAACAACCATTGAGGACGACTTTGCTTTGTAAAATATTTAAAAACCCATCGAGATCTCAAACAGTGCAATGGAAATTGGCTCAGAGAGCAAGGCATGGGGCTCCTTCCAACAGGCAGGGGGGCACGGGGGGGGGGGAGCAATGGGAGAGTGGAGCAGAGCCACCGAAAATGCAGGAGTCAAATCAGTAAAGGCACCAAAGGGAAAGGTCTAATAACACAAGATATGAAATGCAAATGAGGAATTTAGGAAGGGAATTCACTAACGGAAAAGCTGGGGGGGGAGTGTTTCAGAAGGGGTGGGGCAGCTGAGAGGCTCTGGTGATGGGTGGGCGGGGGGTAAGATTAGCAGAAAGGTATAAAAAGGCATTTCCTGGATCCAGGGTTGCGGTGCTCATCTCGCTTTATTGGCCAAAGGAGCCGGCGTACAGCTACCAGGTCATGTGGCCAGCATGATTAAGCCGCTTCTGGCGAACCAGAGCAGTGCACGGAAATGCCGTTTACCTTCCCGCTGGAGTGGTACCTATTTATCTACTTGCCCTTTGACGTGCTTTCGAACTGCTAGGTTGGCAGGAGCAGGGACCGAGCAACGGGAGCTCACCCCATCGCGGGGATTTGAACTGCCGACCTTCTGATCGGCAAGTCCTAGGCTCTGTGGTTTAACCCACAGTGCCACCCGCGTCCCTTTATTCAGCATACATCAGGACAAAAGGAAAACATGTCTGATCCCTTTCGTGTCCAAAGCAAGCGGCATAAGCAATAGCTATACACAAAACGGAAGTTCCCAGCAAGCTGTGCTGGAGTGTAAACAGACATGTGGCATACAACAATTCCACACGTCTGTTCTTAAGGTGGAACGGAATATCCCAACAGTTTCTACAGTGGCCAAACAGATGCCTGTAGGAAGCTAAAGAGTGAGATCTGAATGCAACAGCACTCTCCTCCCTTGTGGTTTTCTGCAACTCGTATTGAGAAGCAATCTTGCCTCCGACAGTGGAGACAGAGCACAGCCATCATAGCTTGTTGTTGTTGTTTAGCCGTTTAGTCGTGTCCGACTCTTTGTGACCCCATGGACCAGAGCACGCCAGGCACTTCTGTCTTCCACTGCCTCCCGCAGTTTGGTCAAACTCATGCTGGTAGCTTCGAGGACACTATCCAACCATCTCGTCCTCTTTCGTCCCCTTCTCCTTGTGCCCTCCGTCTTTCCCAACATCAGGGTCTTTTCCAGGGAGTCTTCTCTTCTCATGAGGTGGCCAAAGTATTGGAGCCTCAGCCATCATAGCTAGGAGGCATTTATAGCTCTATCTCCCACGAATTACTTGAGTAACTTTTCCCCTATATTTGTATATTTGACCTCGCTGCAGAGTCCGATACACTCATTGGACCTATGACCATTCCGCTAGCTTGCTGTGACACTTTTAACCTCCTTTCTCCAGGTTCCAACTAGAATGCACAGGCTCTTGATAGCATCCCAGGATTTTAATTGCAAATAGTGACATTTTCCTTAAGACTTTTTTTTTTCCTTTTGAAAGATAACGAGTGGAAGGTATTTCTTCTTCTTTTTCTCCCTCTTATAAAAAAGGGAGACAAAAGTCATTGTTGAATCTCCTAATGCGTTAGACACAGTTCCACATGACATTTTCCTATGGAAGCAAAAGAAATGTAGATTAGATGGTAGCATAAGCATTCTAACAAGAATGCAAAATTGCTTAAGAAACCAAGACCGGAGTGTCCATTCACATTTTGCTGGTTTTCTTCCAATAACACACGCCTGTCTTCTGCGTTACCTCGCTTCAAGTCAGAACAAAACCAACCCCTCCCAGAATAATTATCTATGAATCAGACTGATTTGATTTTTATTTTTTTTTGTCTGTGCAATTACATGCAACTCATTTGTATATGCAGATGCATGTCTAATTTGAAAGCAAAGCTTTGGTGACGATATGGACAAATTGGTTAATTGTCCACACAAAGGGCCCTAATTAGACATTTGCACACACAATTACCTGCTCTGTGTCCACAGCATACCATAATCGCACATGCAATTACACACCCACGTTATCTGGATGGTGGGATTTGCTGGCAAAAAGCAAATGGTTGGCTGAAGGGGAGAGAGGGTCACAAGAGTGGACTTCTTAAGTTTGGCAGTTAGAGAAATCCATGAAAGATCAGACTATCTATGGCTTCTAGAAGAAGATGTTTGAAAGTGGAAAGGAGTCCCGTAGTGTACTCTCCTTCACTGGAAGTTTTAAGCAGAGTTTGAATGGCCACCTATCTTGCAACTGGTATTACTTAGAGGCATACTGTCTCCAACAGAGGAGGAAGAGTATAGCCATAATAGATAGCAGCCACTGGTAGCATTATCTTCCATGAATTTGTCTAATTTGCCCCATTGTAATCAACAGGGCAA